CTTTCTTTACTTCTCTCTCTCCTCCTTCCCTTCCTCTCTCTCTCTCTCTCTGTATGTTTGATTTTTTATCACTATCCTTAAAATTTTTAACAAAATTATTTAATTTATTAATTTAGTATTAAAATTATACAATTATAGTTAAATATGATTGTTGATTTATTGGGTACACCAAATGAAGAAGAAATGAAAACAGCATGTGATGGTGCTCGAAAACATATCCTTTCATCACCATTTCGACAACCAAATTCACAAAAAATTATTCAATTAACACAAGGGAATGATGATGCAGCTGATTTACTTACTAGATTGGTAACATTTGATCCGGTTAGTTCATTCATTATTATTTGATGAAATTTAAAAAAAAAAAAAAAAAAATCAATTAATTTAAAATAATTTTATAAAATTTTAAACTAATGAATTGAACGGTTAGTTCATTCATTCATTCATTCATTATTATTTAATAAAATTCAAAAAAAAAAAATCAATTAATGCAAAATAATTTTTATAAAATTTTAAACTAATGAATTGAAATTTAATAAATATATCAATTGAGTAATTTAAAATTTTTTAGCAAGAAAATTTCTACAAAAATTTTTTTTTTTTTTTTTTTCTAGGAAAAACGTGTCACAGTCGATGTAGCATTAAGTCATCGATATTTGGATGAAGGTCGTATGCGTTTTCATTCATGTATGTGTTCATGTTGCTATACAACACCATCAAATGTACGAATTTTCTCACAAATTTTAGATCCAGTTGTAAGTATTATTTCTTTTTTTTCTTTTTTTTTTAATTTTTAATTTATATAAAATTAAATTTCAACAATTTTAAAATAAATCAAAAAGAAGAAGAAGACGAAGGATTAATTTCTGTATAAAATTCATTTAAAAAAAAATTTTTTTTTTCTAATAAATTTCATATTATCTTATTTTTTTTAAATTTCTAGCATGAACATCCATTTGATCCAAGATGGGAGAAAGAATTGTCACGTATGTCAATGTTTGATTTAAGAGATCGAATGTACAGATTTGTCACCGAACGTGCACCACCATTTGGTGTAGCACTTACAATTAATCCAAACTCTGCCTCATATAAAACTTTTACTAGGTATGAATGAATGTTTTTTTCTTTTTTCATTTTTCAAAATTTTTTCTTTCTACTCTCTCTCTCTCTCTCT